TATACATTAAGTTGCACAGGGGCTCTCTATGACACACAAGAAGGTCTTGACGGAATATTAATAAAAGATTAAAGAAATGAACTAAGGAATGCCGAAAGGAAATGACAAGAAATTTTTAGAGCCAACAGAGACAGAAACAAGAAGAGAAATAAAGTGTACAAAGAAAATGGATTAAAGACAAAATTTAGATTGCGTACAAGAAAGTAAATATCTTGAAAACGAACCAGGAAACCTGGAGAAGTAATAAACAAGATATAAAAGAATGATGGGGAAGAAAAACTAAAAAGGGGGAGGGGGTGAACTGTGGCAGATGCAGCAAAGAAAATGGGAGTTCAAGTCAAAGACCGTTTTCTTTGAATGCTTCTCCATTGTGTTGAGGAGAAAACGGGAATCGTGACGTTACCTTGTGTTAAAGAGCGATCCTGGGACAACCATGGTAAATATGAACGCCGTAACCAAAACTCCTGAGAACGCGGAAACGATGCCTGAGAATATAACAAATGACCTTTAAAAAAGGTATTGTAAAGGTGCTGGGGTTTATTACGAATACATTCAAGGGAAGGCGTTAAACTCCTAGGGGCCGTACAGGGTATAGGGAATGGGAGGTATCCAGATTTGATCCTAAGATGGAGAGGGTAGTTCCAATTTCATGCATCAAGAGTCCTGAGCCCACTGTGTGTGTGTGTGTGTGTGTGTGTGTGTGTGTGTGTGTGTGTGTGTGTGTGTGTTTTGTGTGTGTGTGTGTGTGTGTGTGTGTGTGTGTGTGCGTGAGTTAGTGTTATTGTGAGAAGTACAGTGCTGATGTTTTACTGCTTATACAACAGTGTATAGCTATCAGGTGTGTATTTCTCGGTATTTATACACCCTCAGTTTACTACAATCATTATAGTAATTTGTATACAGACTGAAACCTTCCAGTAAGACTAATACTGAGTATTTAGTAAATGTTTTAAATTCCCTGCATGACTTACAAAGTATGCATGACTTCCATGACCGTAATCCAGTGTTTGTGTATACGTATTTAAAAATCTGTGTAAACAATAAAATTTCATCAGAGGATTTAAGCTTAATTTATTAATCCATGAAGGAATTAAATCATAATCATATGTAATCCCAGATTTACTGTAATGTCGTATAATAAAATATCAGATTTTTTCAATTTGGGAACGAAATTAAGTGGTAATAGTGTAAATATTATTGGAAATGTTATTGGGCTGGGAGGGAAGTCTTGGAGCCAAGGACATTGTTAATTTTAGCTAGCACTGCAGGTATAGTAAGGGTTCGTGGATGGAGTGACGGCGTAAGGAAACAACTGTAGATTCTTATAGAGGCGTATATTTGGTAAACGTGGAAGAGCCGAGCCTTCACTTCTGTCCACTACTATTCCTGGTCTAGTTCTGAGAAGGAAGCCTGGGACCAGGACTGCCAAATGAAATTTTCAGACAACGCTAGATTATTGTCCAAAAACTCGCTAGATTTAATAACACATTATGCATTGCTCTCACCAGTACACAGGCAATTATTCTAGATGTGCTAAATTTCAACCTCGGCTTATGTAGCTGTTTCTTGTTGTGATAGTTAAGTAGAATGTTGATATGCATACATAGAGGCTATTTTTCGCATGATTTCATTTGATAGTTTATAATCATAGCAGCATTTACCATGTCTTCTCAGTACGACTCTCAAACTCTTGATACTCAACATCAGTTTTGTTGACATCGGCCATAACAGAAACATTATCAGTGCCTAGAAACTCAAGTTCATTACTTTTTAAAGATTCCTTGAAAGGATCGCATGTTGTATTAGCATTGCAGTCACACAGTTCAACTTGGTCTAAATAACCACAATCTGTTTCTCTCTGAATAATACTTAATAGCAATACTTAATAGTTTATTTACAGAAATATCATCCCTTTCATCTCATAATAAGCTGAATTTACTATATCCAATATCAGCTTCCAAATCTGGAACTAGAATATGGTGCTAGTGCATGGTAAACACTTGCACTGCATTTTTGTCCTCCTGAGCTTAAGGTTCTTACAACTAGAAATGTCAGCATAATTTTTTTTTTTTTGCAGAGTTCACTTAAATGGTCAGCTACTTGCAATGAACAGTGTTCAGCAATGAACAAAGACACAGTTCCCTCTGATTTTCTTACATCATCGCTTAGCCTTTCAGACTGAAGAATTGTCTTTGTGTACCTGAACAGTTCAGTTGTCTTGTGCTTGGCAATATTTCTGTATCTTTCAATATCACTTAACTTGGCTGCAATTGAACATTTGCAGTACTTACAAAAATATTTTGTCATCATCCTCTACTTCTTCATCATTTTTGGTTTCTCGAGTCACTGAGTCACTGCACTTATAATGAACAGTCAGAACAAATAAACCAACAGTAACAGTAAGGGTAACAGTTAACACAAGCGAGGATCTAAACAAAAGTCGAACTGGTGTGACAGATGTTTCACACAGTCTGTCAGTCATAGGCTCAGCCCAGGACATGATCCCATGTCAGGTGAGTCACGACTGAGCATGATCTGGACTTGTCTGACCTGAACTTTAGAAAGGTGCCTGCTGAGATTCATTATTAAGCTTATTTCTTTCTTTCCTTACTTTCATTTAGGCCGGTGTTTATTACATATATACTTAGCTAGGATTTTAAGAAAAAATAGATGGCAAAAGCGCTCTATATTTCACACTAGACCAACTAAAAAACATTAAAAAGCGCCTCCAAGCAATCTAGAATAAACTCAAGCTAGAGAAACTCTAAATGTGCCAAACTAGGGCGATAAACGCTACGTTGGCATCCGTGCCTGCGTCCTAGCTGGCTGGTTTAGTCGGGGAGCCACGTGACGTCAGGCTAGCAAGGAAGCTTGACTGTAAATGGTATCAGGACAAATATATAAGTATTATATTGTTGACACAGTAAAGACATCTGACTAACTCTCTCTAATCAGTAAACATGTGTCAACGTCTACAGAAAAAGAAATGAAAAAGTCTTCAAGTCAACTCATTAAAATAATGAACGTCGGCTTGTCACAGAGGCACTTTGGAAGCCTCCTACCTTCACATCCAGAACGTTACCTGTGTCACTAGACGTTCCCTGCTTTCATCCCGTTACGTACGGAGTGAAAACCCCAAATTAGGAAGGATATTTTTTAATCCTTGTGATAACTATGCGATTGCTCATACATTACTGTAATTCTGGTAGCCTAAGGTATAGGCAAAGAATTAATTATTAACTTTGCTCCTAGGCTACATATCAGTAGCAGTGCTGAGGGGCTGACGCTCCTAAAAATTTTCATCTACCCCAAAGAATAATAATAATAATAATAATAATAATAATAATAATAATAATAATAATAATAATAATAATAATAATAATAATAATAATTTTTCAACAAACCGGCCATATTCCACCGAGGCAGGATGACCCAAAAAGAAAAACGAAAGTTTTTCTTTTTTTAGATTTAGTAATGTATACAGGATAAAGGGTTACTAGCCCCTTGCTCCCGGTATTTTAGTCACCTCTTACGACACGCATAGCTTAGGGAGGAAAAATTCTGTTCCACTTCCCTATGGAGATGGGAGAAAATAAACAAGAACAAGAAAGAAAATAGAAGAAAATCCAGAGGGGTGTGTATCTATATGCTTGTACATGTATGTGTAGTGTGACTTAAGTGTAAGTAAAAGTAGCAACATGTACCTGAAATCTTGCATATTTATGAGACAGAAAAGACACCAGCAATCCTACCATCATGCAAAATAATTACAGGATTCATTTAACACTCACTTAACAGGACGGTAGTACCTCCCTGGGTGGTTGATATCTACCAACCTACTACTTAGAATAATAATAATTCTTCAAGGCAAATCTTCAGATTGCCATCCCACTTATAAATAATTTCTGGAGCCCCCTCTGCTGCAGATACTCAAATTATCTTATTTTACAGGTACCAAACTTCACCAGCACGGAGGTTCATAATGATGGAAGTTTCCTTGAAATCCAGACTCTCCAGGGGTCGCCATCCAGTACAACCCCAGTGGAAATTTCAAGGCCTCCATTGGAAATAAGTAACTTTATCTGACACTATGTATAAATAATTGTATTTATGTGTACCTGTGCTTAAATAACTTACATAACCTCAGGTCGGGACAGTCTCCACGTTTAATTACGTCTTTTCCTCAACTGATCCAAGGGAGTTGCTGGTCCTTTCTTTCCATCATCCTATTACCTTTCAGAAGGATGTACGTAGAGATTTCTAAAGTTGGAAATATTAATTAATTTCAACTGAGAGAACAGCATTTGCCTCGTATCGAGGAGGCTCTCACCAGTTTGAATAAAGAATAATATATTCTTGATTGGTGGTGTACAGGTGAAGAGAAGTAATAATAGTCTCGTATAACCCATAACTTCGTCTCCATACACGACATATTCCAAGAAATAACCAAAATAATGCTAGCCCTTTGACAAAATTCAAATTACTTGAGGTACCACATTGTGAGGCTACTATGATCAACATGAAATAACAAAAAATAGTATAATATTACAATTACTATAGGCCTATAGTGGTGATAAGTTATGAAGAAGCCTATAATAGACTGTTTAGTTGATTTATATATCAATACAAGTTCAAGGCATGAGCTGTTCAAATTGGGAATTGTTAGATTTATTTATAATAATGAAAAGATAAGTTTAGACTAGTTTATGTTAAAAACAAAGATTACTGTTTCTATGGTGAAAAATAAGTGAGTAAAGATTATCGTTTTCTTTAACAATTTTCAATGATGCCTCATCTAAATTTATTACTCGTTACTGTAAGTAAGTAAGTAAGTTTATTCAGGTATACACAAATACAGTTACATAGAATTATCATACACAGCAGCATATGTGTAGAGAACCTAGGATAACCCAAGAAAGTCAGACAGAGTGACTTATTTCCACTGGGGTCCTTTACTGATTATATTAGATACCTCGAAATACGTCAGAGAAACACTTTAGGAAAATTAAAGACTCTGTTACCTTTCTCATTCAGTTTTTATTTTCACACACATATTATGTTCCTTAATCAACGAAAACTCGTATCACAGACTCCCCAAGTATCTATGACACAGGTACAAACACTCACGACACAACACCCTTGACACAGAACCCATGACACTGTTGACACAGACATACATAATACAGCACCCATGACACAGACACACAACACAGCATCCATGACACAGACACACACAACACAGCACCCATGACACAGACACACACAACACAGCACCCATGACACACACACAACACAGCACCCATGACACACACACAACACAGCACCCATGACACAGACACACACAACACAGCATCCATGACACAGACACACACAACACAGCACCCATGACACAGACACAACACAGCACCCATGACACAGACACACACAACACAGCACCCATGACACAGACACACACAACACAGCACCCATGACACAGACACACACAACACAGCACCCATGACACAGACACACACAACACAGCACCCATGACACAGACACACACAACACAGCACCCATGATACAGACACACACAACACAGCACCCATGACACAGATACACACAACACAGCACCCATGACACACACACAACACAGCACCCATGACACACACACAACACAGCACCCATGACACAGACACACACAACACAGCACCCATGACACACACACAACACAGCACCCATGACACAGACACAACACAGCATCCATGACACTTGTGAATGTGCTATTGAAAACGCGCTAAAAGTAATTTAATTTACAAATATTTCACTCTTCAGAGATGAAACATCAGACGACGTTACGGTTCCTCCTGGACCATTGTTAAGTTAAGTCCTCGACCATTATCAATCTCAGACCATTATCAGTCTCAGACCATTATTGAGTGACAATTATCCCACAAAATTAGTAAACAGTCGTATATTTGGATTCCGCAGGACATAATAAGTTCATTGACAATACTGGAAGAACTCTTTTTGAAGTAAAGTATTTAATACACTTCATTTTCTCTAGTTATATTTATGGGTCTGTCAACTTTGGGAAAAGTTGACAGACTATGGAGTATGTCGCTCTGAGACGCTATTATATCGGATATTTACTCTATTACTGATATTTTGATTAATTTAGGTATCAAATGTTGTCCAGAATTATATAAGAAACACGTTACATATCATAAAACCGGAATATAAACAGCCATGAGAGAGGAAGTTGACATAATAGTAAAGCTGGGTAGCAGCTGCGGCTTATTTGTCGGCACTTGCAGACTCGCCTATTTTATGCATGTCATGTAATTTTAAACGTTTCTTAAAACGTTGAAATCAACCACGACTTCCCACGAAAGTCTCACTTTCAGCACTAGAACACTGATTTTCCTTTAGATCTTCAAATAAACTGAAAGCTTTCATTTGTATGGCCATTAGTGAACATGGAGAGTTAAGCCGATGCGTGTCCTCCATCCCAAGTATTTAAGTCTTTCCATATTTTCCATTCCTGGGCCGGGAATTGATTTCTTTTTCTCATCAACCTTATAATGAAACGACGTTAAGTGAGGACTTCCTGTATACGTAGGTGAACTGTATAAATCATGGTGATTCAGTGCATTGCATAGCAATACCAAGGAGAAGAAAGGCGTGCGTTTGTTAGCACCTTTCATGGGAAGTGATCCGGGAAGTGTCCCGGATTGCCACATATCTGGAAAGTGTCACACACACACTGTAGCATCTCCGCGAAGTATCTTACAGTGCTGTATCTCCAGGAAGTATCTCACACTGCCAAATCGCTGGGCGATGCCTTCTTCAGTCATAGAGTAGTTAGGAAGTGGAATAGTCTGGCAAGCGATGTAGTGGAGGCAGGAACTATATATAGTTTTAAGACGAGGTATGATAAAGCTCATGGAGCAGGGGGAGAGAGGACCTAGTAGCGGTCGGTGAAGAGGCGAGGCCAGGAGCTGAGTCTCGACCCCTGCAACCACAATTAGGTGAGTACATATACTTCCGCATCTCTGATAAGTGTCATTCCCTTGCCACGCCTCTTGGAAGTGTCACACCACTGCAACATTCTTGGTAAGTAACCAGCGATAACATCTGTAAAGAAATCTACATATACGGCATTCTTCTGATACCAGGAATGCCCATTTCTTTCCTCTTTGGCTTTGTGAAGCTCGAGATGTTGAGCTCTAAGTCTGTTGACGACTCTGTTGTCTTCGTCCGACTACGTCTGAACAGCTGCCCCCAGGACTGCTCTGTCAGTCTCTTTGGCAGCAGGACCTTGATAAGGGCTGTTGCTTCCTTCCTGAAGGACTGACTGGGCATGTTGTAGAGCCAGGGGTTCCAGGAGAAGGCTGCCAGGAACCCCCACCAACACAAGTATCCTACCAGCTCCATGTGAGCGACGCTGACGGCCGCGATATGCAACAATAAAGCGACAGCAGCCAGGGAAGCCGAAAAGAGTAACGATATTGTCATCAGTATCATGATAGTGATGATTTGTATCGAGCTCTCGGTACTCTGGTCAACGTCGGTTTCCCCGAACTCCCGAAGGTTACCAGTTCGTCTCGCCATTTCCTTCTTGTAGTTGTGTAGAGCCAGCACCGAGAGAACCACCGTCAGCAGACACACAAGACCCAGGATGGACACTACAAAAGCTGGGAGAACGGTTTCCAGCCCTCTGGGTGACACGCCGAGAGGCAGTTTGTAGAAGGGGTACCAGAGAGCCCGAGTGCCATCCTCACTGTAAGTAAGGGCCAGAGACCCGAGAACACTTAACATCCAAGTCATTGCCACGAAGACTCTCGCTCTCTGCCGCGTGAACACAACTTTATACTGAATGACTTTGCTTTTTAAGCTAAATCTCTCCAAGCTCAAGGCAAATAAATTTAGAAGTGAAATACAGGAGCAGGAACTCAGTACTAGAGCAGAAAATAACCAGAAGCCGCCGTCAATCACTACACCTGCTCCCGAAGCCTCCTGCTGGGATGCCACTTCGTCACTCACAACGGCATGCTTCCACCACGGAGATTCGACATTCCTGTCGTCCATGAAAGACAGGTGGGCGTCCAGACTGGGCAACAAAACGAACAAACAGACAAAAAGATCAGCTATGGCGAGGGAGGTGCGGAGAATATTTGAAGGCTCACCTAAGTGGTGTCCTCTGATCATTACAGCCACTACCAGTACGTTTCCCGTCAGGCCGCTGACAACAATCATCATCACCAGAGCTACCAGGACCCCTTCAGTCACTCGACACCGTAGCGGCAGGTAGCTCCAGGTACGCACCATACCTAGTGTCTCAGGCTCTACTTTCCACAAAACGTCATACCACGGGAAGCAAGTTGGCCAGTGCCGATTCCTCGTCAGGTACAAACCTTCACTCTCAATATCCTCTAGATCATAGAGTTTCCTGACGTACTTGTAGCAAGACCCGTTATAACTGTGAAATACATCTGGACTAATCAGTAGAACGAGGGCGTCACCGGCTACTCGTTCCACAACACGAACACTTCCTCTACACACACCCTGGAAACACACTTCGTCCTCTTCCAGCAGCGTCGAGGCCAAAAGCTTTTCAAAAGATACGTCCTCACTGGACGGTCTTTGGCAACCATGATTGTGCAAGAAGGCAATTTCTTCAGGAGAACATACTGTTATCAACTTTTTTTCTATGCAATAAGATTCATAATGTGCAATATAAAGGGGCAAACAGAGGTCCATAAAATGCTGATCAGTAATTATTGTAAGGAAGAGTTATCGTAGGAGATGACAGTATCTGTGAAGTTGCTGTACTCTCCATAGACGGCTGAGAAAATGTATTCGCAAAAAAAAAGAACCCTTGTATAAGATATTTTCTTGTATAGAGGGTAGTCACTATAATGTAAATATATATTATAAAAATTGTCCGTATAACTTATTTCTGTGGTGGATGTCAGGCCGAGATTTGAGGTGTTAGAGGAACTGAGATGTGAAGCCTCCTCGCCATTTATGGAAACAGTTGAAGTCTCAGGACTCCAAGATGAATCTTGATCAGTGGCGTTGATCTCCCGCAGATGAAGCGGAATAGATCGCTTTTTTTTAATCAACCTTTCAGCATTCTCTGGTTGTTTACTGCCTTCTACATTGGTCTCTCTTAAAGTTACAGAAGCCTGTGGCTCACTGGTTACGATTTTTACAGGATCCGAATCATATTCATAATAGAGCATTGGGTGTCCACAAACTGAGATCGACTGATCGCTCCTCTGTGTGCTCGTGGAACTGGGAGGTGATACAGAAGTATCTAGAAAAATGTCAGTAGGCTTGGAAGATTTCTCAGGAGAGTGAAGGTCAGAAAACGAAGCTTCGTACTGTCTCTCAGAATACCCAGGGGTCACACGGTTTAAGAACTTGAAGTGAAGAAACATCCCAGCCACTACTACGAGGGTTAACCCGATCATGAGTACAGTCAGCGGCCTCCGTCGCATGCGTGGTCTCCCCATCCTTAAGAATCCCTGCTGTGACCTGGGTCCTGCAGACACGTAAACAACATCTTTAAATATATGATAAAAAGAATTTAAGCTTCATAGTTTTTTCCATAATTTTCCGAGAAATATGATAAACAATAACTAGTATTTATTTATTTACTCTGAATGGATAAAGAAATCAGGAAGCAAAATATTACAATATACTACTACTACTTACACTTAGACAAATTACATATACATATACATACATAGGTATACACACCAATCTCAATTTTCACCTATTTTTTAGAAATAGTTCTTGCTCTTTTATCTCCCTTCATCTCCATGGGGAAGTGGAAAAGAATCTTTCCTCGTGCCGAATAGGTAAAATTAGCCAATTAGTAAGAACTCATTTAAAATTAAATACCTTTAAAGATATATTTTTTCATTCACGTTAATGTAAAAATTAATAATTTTGTACTAAAAGAACATTAGAAAACTTACCTAACCTTATTATAACAAGCGCAATTTAATTTAGCCTAATTCAACTAAATATATTGTAGATAAGTTTACAATAATTTAATACCACAATGAGCAATATCACGAACCAGTGCTACTGATCAATAACAACACTGTGACTAGCCAAGTAGTCGAACCCATGCTGCTTTGGCCCGTCTCATGGTGAGCGAAAGACAGATGACGGTCTAGTCGGGTACAATAATATAAAATATTGCTTTTTGGGCTAGTACACCAAACAGGGAGTAGAATGAAATTAGCTCAGAGGTATCCACACCACCGTATGTTCTCGGATGACGGGCACAATATCTAGCTTGGCTATATGCGTTATTCTTGAGAATTGTGTGGTTCCGTGGACTAGAGCGTCATCTGTCTTTCGCTCACCATGAGACGGGCCAAAGCAGCATAGGTTCGACTCCTTGGCTAGTCGCAGTGTTGTTTTATATATCCCGAAAAAGAAAAACTTTCACCATCATTCACTCCATCACTGTCTTGCCAGAAGGGTGCTTTACACTACAGTTTTTAAACTGTATATATATATATATATATATTTTATATATATATATATATATATATATATATATATATATATATATATATATATATATATATATATATATATATATATATATATATATATATATATATATATATATATATATATATAAGGTACAATCTTTGTTTTTCTTCTATTTTCCTTTCTTTTATCCACTTCCCACCATAGTCACTTCTCTCATCATCATCTCCACTACTATCACCACCTTGCAAATCAATATTCCACTGCATCAACCACCACATCTACCATTCCCACATCCACTATTATTTCTATCAACCCTTCCCCCCCCCTCCATATATGACCACTACCACATCCATCGATATACCATCCACCACCACTACATCCATCACCCCTCACATCCACCACGAAATCTCTCACACTCTCCTCCACATGTACCAAAATGGCCACCGCATTTATCCCCACTGTTTGCATCTTTTTTTACGATTTATTTTATAAATTCAACCACTAAAATCACAATAACAATCACAACAGTACTTACGCAACGACAACAATCAAAATCATAACAACACTTACACAACAGTAGCCGTCAAAATTATAACAACCACAACAACACTTAAGCAACGACAACAGTTAAAATCACAACATCAACAACCACAAAAACACAAAACGGCGACAATCAAAAGCACAACAACACAAAACGGCAACAATCAAAATCACAACAGCCACAACTACACACAACGGCAACAATCAAAATCACAACAACCACAACAACACTTACGCAACGACAACAGTTAAAATCACAACATCAACAACCACAACAACACAAAACGGCAACAATCAAAATCACAACAGCCACAACAACACAAAACGGCAACAATCAAAATCACAACAGCCACAACAACACAAAACGGCAACAATCAAAATCACAAGCTAGTGTTCTTTACCAGGTAGCTGGTAAAGAACACTAGCTTCATGTAATCCCTCTAGCAAGAACAGGCGTTAGGGAAATTCGTAAGGTTCTTTGGATAAACACAATACTAGCAGTAACACTCACCCTTGCTAGTGACGGCTAGTGATGACACTGGCCAAGCTCAGACTAGTCAAACCAGGGTGGTTATCCGGGCTCAGGATGTTTACTCTCTTGACATGAACTAGCGAGATATTGTCAGAACAAAAGTCATCGTATCATCATTCATTTCCTGTAAGAATATTTCAGCATTTTTTTTTGTTTGGTTGTAGCCCTAGTCAGGACGTATTTAAGTATCCCGTAGGTCGGTTGGTAGCGCACTCAGCTCACACATTGAGTATCCGTGGTTCGATCCCCGGTACGGGTGCAAACACTGGGCATGTTTCCTTACACCTGCTGTCCCTGTTCACCTAGCAAGTAGGTACCTGGACCTTAGCCGAATGGTGTGGGTCGCAACCTGGGGGACAAGATTAACCTATTTTGCCGGAAATGCTCTGCATAACCTGGGGTTTTTATACAGCATGTCATTGATGTCAACTATGGTCTGTTTAAGTTGCATCTTGTACTTGTAGAAATAAAGATTATTATCTTATTATGTTCTTATGTGTTTGTCGTATTACTATATTGTGCTTATTTATTTGTACTCATCAGTGTGTGCTTATTTATTTGTACTCATCAGTGTGTGTTTATTTATTTGTACTCATCAGTGTGTGCTTATTTATTTGTACTCATCAGTGTGTGCTTATTTATTTGTACTCATCAGTGTGTGCTTATTTATTTGTACTCATCAGTGTGTGTTATTTATTTGTACTCATCAGTGTGTGCTTGTTTATTTGTACTCATCAGTGTGTGCTTAATTTATTTGTACTCATCAGTGTGTGCTTATTTATTTGTACTCATCAGTGTGTGCTTTATTTATTTGTACTCATCAGTGTGTGCTTATTTATTTGTACTCATCAGTGTGTGTTTATTTATTTGTACTCATCAGTGTGTTTTATTTATTGTACTCATCAGTGTGTGTTTATTTATTTGTACTCATCAGTGTGTGTTTATTTATTTGTACTCATCAGTGTGTGTTTATTTATTTGTACTCATCAGTGTGTGCTTATTTATTTGTACTCATCAGTGTGTGCTTATTTATTTGTACTCATCAGTGTGTGTTTATTTATTTGTACTCATCAGTGTGTGTTTATTTATTTGTACTCATCAGTGTGTGTTTATTTATTTGTACTCATCAGTGTGTGCTTATTTATTTGTACTCATCAGTGTGTGCTTATTTATTTGTACTCATCAGTGGTTTAACGCTTGATTTTTGTTATAATACTAATGTACTCATCAGTGTGTATTCGCCAGTCTGTGTTGCAGGGGTCGAGGCACTGCTTCTGGCCCTGCTACTTATCTTGAGGACTGAGAACATTCCAGTATCTCAGACAAATATGGAAAAATATAGACAATTATTTCTCTGCCTTTATCTGCTTGAGAGTCACCTCCTCTAACTGACAAGTATTAATTACATCTTGATGCTTCAATATGAGTAGACAGACCACGGAACGGGTGGAGGTTTGAACCTATAGTGAGTCGAAAACTCCAGGCTAGTGTGTTTGTTTGTTTTCATTTGTGTTGTTACAGTTTCGTGAGTCATGAGTAAACAATGTTTGGAATCCTACTAGCTGATACAAAGAAAAGGAGTCTAGTTGTAATTTCATTAATATTCTCAATAATATCAATTAGCAACAAAGTCAACTGAATACTAAGATTCATAGCTAGAAATTCTGAACACAGTACTTCAGAATCAATATTGACACACTAGGATGCTTGTCTGACTTTACCTTGAATTTGCTGATTAGTTTTGGCTCAAAAATATCATAATGTGAGAAGTAATATCATGAAAAAAGGTCTCAAAGAAATTAATATTTTCTCTGTTAAAAAAACGGAGACTAACGGGACTGTTTGCCTCATATCTGTATCTCCAACACGTTGGCAATAATGTCAATGAGGCTCAAAAAAGCGCCTCATACCTCTTCTGGACGCAAAAAGGGCATCAGGAACGTGAGTGTTTTAAGTGCAAACAGATAAGAGTCCTTCAAGAATCGGCTGGACAAGTACGCTATGAAGACCTTATTCATCTAGTGTCGCTAGACACAGTATAGGTGCTGACTATGATCACTGATGTTAGTTAACAAACTTCCCAGGACGATCAACTGACAATGAACTATCTAGGCCATAGAAGTATTAGTGATAACAGAGGAGAAGTAAAATTACGATGTAGTTAGCTTCCTTATAGACTGTAGGGTCATTTATTGTCTGCCTTTTTTTGTATTCTCGTGTCCTCTTTATTGTACAAGCATTTCAATCCCCACATTTTTCTCCGTTCTCTCTCGCTCTCTCTCTCTCTCTCTTCCCTTTTTTCTCTCTCCCTCTCTCCCCGTTCCCTCCCTAGAGCCTGCCCACTCAGCTGACAGGTCTGTTCCACGATGATTAATTACAGCTTCCCTAACAATCGTATCACGCTATTAACCCCTGATACACCGGCACTATTGATCGGAGGGAGGGGGGAAGAGAGGAGGAGGAGGAAGAGGAGGAGGAGGAGGAGGGGTATAACAGCAGGAAGAGAGAGAGAGAGAAATGAGTGACTCTCACTGTACAGTTCAATGACACTGAAGACAACTCTGCAGGCCTCTACAGTGTCGTTAATCTCCGTAGTTTCGTGTTCTTTCATAAGCCAAACATGTGAATCATCAGGAAAGTTGTTAAAAGAAAAATTACATCTGTTTAGAATGATGTGAATGTTTCTTGGAAGGACGACAAGCGGAGTCATCAAGTGAATGCGTGAAGAACCTACGTACATTCTTAAATGCATGGGCAATACTTCGGCCACAGAACGACAACATTCTCCTCTGAGTTCTTGTCTTAAGAAATTAGCTGTGATGGGGCTAGGAATAAGGTCAGTGTGCAGCCCACTTGCCAAAGCCCACCCTTCCAAGCCCACTCACGACAGCCTACCCATCGAAGCCCATTCATGACAACCCACCCTTCTAAGCCCACTCGTGACAGCCAACCCTTCTAAGCCCAATCATGATAGCCCACTCTTCAAAGCTCATTCATAACAGCCCACCCTTCGATTGAAGACGTACATTGGTAAATTTGCTGAAAAAGAAATATTTGTAGTGTATCTGTGAGCCAACAAGTGATAAAAAAAAAAACACGCAGCAAAAGAAGACTTTTATCTCAAGTTTCTGTTGTCAATACCATAAAAAAAAGATGTGAGAAATCGAGATTAGTGTTCGTTCTCCATCTACACAACACTGTGTTCAGGTATGTTGGTGTTCTAGGTTTAAAGCCTATCGACTATACGAGGGTCATTAAGGTTGAATATAAAATATAGGGGATGGTAAGAGAAGACAATATTCAAACAGCTTCAGGCAGAACCTTGAGTTTTCCCTGAAGTAAGTTGATTCTTTTCTCTGAGGATGAGGGTCCCCAGGACACTTCTGGAGGTGGTACCAAGGTAGGGTGGTTCGAAAAAGAAAAACTTTCTCACCATCATTCATTCCATCACTGTCTTGCCAGAGGTGCGCTTACACTATAGTTTTAAAACTGCAACATTAACACCCCTCCTTCAGAGTGCAGACACTGTACTTCCCATCTCCAGGACTCAAGTGCGGCTGCCGGTTTCCCTGAATCCCTTCATAAATATTACCTTGCTAACACTCCAACACCACGTCAAGTCCTAAAAACCATTTGCCTCCATACTCTCCTATCTAATACGCTCACGCACGCTTGCTGGAAGTCCAAGCACCTCGCACACAAAACCTCCTTTACCCCCCTCCTTCCATCATTTCCTAGGCCGACCCCTACCTGGCCATCTCTCCACTACAGAGTCATTCTATTTTGCTCCATCCTCACCCCTCTGGATAATAATAATAATAATAATAATAATAATAATAATAATAATAATAATAATAATAATAATAATAATAATAATAATAATAATAATAAACTGGCGGAATATCTTTATAGAAGATCAGTGTGTTGTTCTGATTTGCGGGAGGGAATTTATTGGAAAAAAAAATGTTCTGTCGGAACAATACTCATCCTGCACAATCTAGGAACAAGGCTGAGTTAGATTGTTATTATCTCTGCTAAGAGCGTGTTCATGTCATGAGCTTCTCAGAGCGCCAGTCACTCTGCAGTCCTCGAAACTAGCCACAGGTACACCACAAGCACGTACGTGATAAGGACAGAAGGCTAGGGTATGCAGACATTGTGTTTACATTTAAACAGGTACACACGCGAGAGATGGGGAAAACTTAGAAGAGTATCTATGTATTTTTCTTCATTCTCAGCCTCCCCTGAGGCTCTTTGAGCAATCAGGATATACGATCAGAGATGGGAGAGGGTAGAGAATGGGGGGGGGGCTGAGACAAGGGGCTCAATAAACGAAGGAGATGCACAATGGAGATAAGAAGACATGGCTGAGTAGGCAGAGAGAATGAGAAGGATCCAAGGGAAAATTAGAGGAGCCCAAGAGAAATGAAAGGCAGAGACGCGTGGAGGAACCTAGGAAAATAAGGGGATCCTGGGAGGGGGGAAGGGAGAACAAAACCTCGAAGGATGATAAGAGCCTAGGATGATGAGAGAAACCTAAATACTGAAATCCAGAGGCGAATGAGACGATCCTTAGAATATACAAGGCATGTTATGAAAGCAAGAAAAGCTCCTGTCCTCCGCCCCTGCCCACCACCCTGCCCACCACCCTGCCCACCACCCACTTCCTCCCACAAACGTCACCAGCACTCTCGCAACTCCTTGATAGGAAAAAATTCTAATTTTCCTTCTCAAAGGATAAAAAGACAAAGTTTTCGAAATGAGAAACTTTTTGAAAGGACTTGAGTTTCTTCATAATTAGAAAGAAAAGCCCTGGGAGTTTTTATCTGACTGCTTTGCATTAAGGGAAGAGAGAGAGAGAGAGAGAGAGGAGAGATAGAGAGAGAGAGAGAGAGAGAGAGAGAGAGAGACAGACAGACAGACAGACAGAGAGAGAGACAGAGAGAGAGAGAGATTATTTTTTATTAATTATTATTATTATTATTATTATTATTATAGTCACGAGGGAGCACTAAACGCGTAGGGGGGTTATACAGCCCCTT